AATAGGGCTACGATATTGTTGATATCTTGTGACTTGTTGAGTCGGATGGATGTGAATGATTCTAGGTGGGACAAAAATTTTTTGATAAGATTAAGTCTGCTGTTATAATCCTGGCCTGGGACTTCATTGATGGGAATAAACATTTTGAACCGTTTTCTGCCATATTCAGTGGACCAATCAGTGGGTCCTTGGTTGTTGTGTTGAGTGGAAGTTGGTGTGTCGTCAGTGGTTTGGGAAGGTTTTTGTAGTATTTGTTGGTTGATTTTGGAGTTCGATTGGACTTCCTCAAACTAGTCATCAATAAAGTCCTCTTCGTCATTGAAACCTCGTGAGGTAAAAGGTGTGCTGTTCTCCTCTTCGTTTGTCAAGTTGGTCACTATTCTAAGTGTGTTTTGGTTGAGTTTGGAAGAAGAGGGGGTGATATTGTTTACAAAGCTTGTTGAAATATTGATAGAGGTGCTGTTGTTGTGGCTGCCTGTAGTGTTGTTGCTGTTGATGTTTTTGCTACTGTTGAAAGAGTTTGCAGTGCTACGAAGTCTTGTTTGAGCGGTGTTTTTGTGAGGAGTTTGTTGGTCATCAAGCTCCATGTTTTCAGTGTTGTTTTTTGGGTTTTTGGACGAACTAGGAGTTGCTTGTGCTTGTATTTGAGTGTTTCTGTTTAAAATGGTCTTGAGAGGCATATTGTGCTTTAAAACTCAGTGCTTTGGGTCCGTTTTTTCGCAAAAGAAGAAAATTTCCAAAAAAAGAAATTTTCAAAAATTAGTGATGTACGGGAAAGAGTTTTTTTTTTTTTTTGTTTTTTTTCTTGCCATGCCAATGATATAGAAACTGCAGCTGCTTTGAAAGCAGACATCGATGAATTGAAAAAAAATAAAACAAAAACACATAAAAATTTTGTAAGTTCAAATAGTTTTAATAATAAAAAACCTAATTAATTCCTTTATATTTCAAGTATGGGAGAACCTGATAATATAAAAACACTTTGCCAATGCCTATAATGTAAAAACAATCTTTCTTGGACTCCTGCCTAGATATAACAAAAAAAAATTCAAAGGAAAGTGGATATATGAAAAAGTAAATCCATTACTTCTACATGTATAAGCCATCAATATTGTCTCCTGCCTGTCAAATGTAATAAAAAAAAATAAGGAAATTATAATTCATAACAAAGATTCAGGCAAGGTGGTGCTTGCAATATATTATAATTGAATTGGATCTGAAGTTTTAAATATTATACAAGGTACAGTACTGAAAATATTCCAACTATAAAGAGGATTACCCAATTCAATGGTATATCAAAACTTAATCAAGAAGCATAGGTAGCTGCTTAATATATAAAATTCATATATGTTTAATTTCATACTTAAGCAATACCAATAACAAGTTTTAGATATCTGTTGATAAGGGAATATGGAATTTTTATACATGTTTTAAATATACCGAAAGAGTTACGAGAAACAAGCCAGTAGTACCTGCATGAAGAACAAGTTATTGCAATGAACAGCCTCTTGTTTAACTATGCAATAGGTATTTTTCTTGTTGATATGACTTTGAGTATATAGCAAAAAATTGCCAAGCATAAACTTCTAAGGTTAGATAAAAACAAATATGGAGTAGTCGAAAAAGATATCTCAGTTTTTTATGACAAAAAGAAAATCAAACTTAACCATTTTTTGGGTCTCTATGAAGCATATGTATCTTGGAGGTACAACAAATTTGTCTATACTAATACAAATTTTTTGGATCATGCAATGGTAGCCAGCTGCCTGAGAAGAATTCACTTCGAAAGTGATCCAAAATTTACTTGCTAAAAAGAAGATTTTGATGGAGGCAACTTCTATATGGCTAAATGGAAAATAAAAGTAGAGATGACAGGTATTTTTAAAGAAATGATAAAAGGTTTGAAATATAAAATATCAAGTTTTTATTTAAATTTTTATACAAGGCAATACTCTTTTTTGCTGGTTAGAACATGAGTTACATGGAATAACTGGTTTGCTAAAGAAAGGTGTAACAAGTGGTTTATCACAAAACCTGATAAAAAAAATAGTAACAATAATTAAAAAATGAAAAGAAGAAACTAAAAAAGAAAAACATATGAAGTATCAGCAAGAGCAATTGCAACAAGATCCCCCTGCTTTGCTAACACTGGAAGAATTGATAAAAAAAAACCAAGGCAGTAGTAGTATTGCAAAAAATTTAAATTATACAGGTGTATATTTTAATTTAGAAAAAAATGATCATAAATAGCAATAAATTATAAATATTAAAAATATAAACTATTAGTTAAATGTTTATAAATAAAACTTAAAGATGGCAAGTAAATATTAAATAGGGAAAAACAAATAAAAAAAAAAATACAATTAAAAAAAATATCGAATTAATCAAATAAATATGAATCAAATAAAAATAAATCTATTCATATATAGATCAGATCAAATAAAAACTGATCCAATTAAATTCAGATCAGATTTATCTAAAATTTAATCCAATTCGATCTATCGCAATCCCTAGTTATCTTTGGTCAAAATCTTATCTGATCACAAGATAACCAAAGATTACAGATATTCCAATTAGTTTTAATACTGAAGTTACCTTATTACAAGACAGGTTTTAACAAGCTTCTGCTGATAAGCTGAAGATTTGCTTGCCATAAAATTTGAAGACTAGCGAAGCTTAGGCATGTTAGTTAGAAGAGGATCTTTACTAAAAATCAATATTCATCCAAGACTCCATATGGTTGCCCCATAGGTAGGCTGTAATAAGTCATGTAAAAAGAATCATCAATAGAATAAGATAACATTTAAGATTTCATATAGATATTTTATAGACATATTATAATAAGTACTGTAAAAAGAATACTTAGTAATATAAGATATAAAAGGGATCTTATATTATGATTCTTAGCAAGAAAAAATGTATCATAGATATAGGAAGTTAAATAGTTAGATTTCTTTTGGCAACAAGCCACATTGGTAGGTTGATAACCTGAAAATGTATTCATATTGAGGTATTGTAATAGATATCGAGTCCTTGTATATATTCTCCAAGATATATATAGTCAGGTGCATATTGTATATAATTGAAATTTCCTATACAGATGTGTAATTTCATATACGAATGAACTTTGTTATTCCTAATAAAAAAAAAATAATGATCAATATATTTAATATTAATAACTTATCATTAATCAGTTTAATGAAAAAGTTTTTTTATTAAGACTTTTTAAAAAATATGTTTTATGTATATTTGTCTTTTATTTTTTTTTATACTAGGTTTTATGTATAAACTTGTTACTCTAAATTCTAATAATTCTATTTTTTCTCTATACTATTTTACTATATTTACTGGTAAACTATTGTTTTGATATTCATATTTTTGATAAACTATTTAATTAAGTTATTTAAAGTCTTATTTTATTATTTGATTTTTGTAATAATCTTATATGAGTTGGGATTTTTTTATTTTATCAATGTGAGCTTTAGAACTTCTTTGACTAAAGTATTTATCTTTTCATTATAAGAGTTATTGACATGTTCCTTGACTTTGATAAGCTTTAAATCTATATTTTTCTTCTTTATTAACTTTATTATTCATATTTAAAAAACACAATTTTTTTTTAACCATCTTTTATAAGTTCTTTTTTAATTTTCTTTTTTTTATTACCTTTTATTTTGAGATACAAACTTGATTATTTATACAAATATCAATAGCACTATTAATAGAAATTCCTAAAAGTATAGTTAAATTTTTTATCAATTTAGTTTATATGAACAAGAGCCAATTGTTTACTTATACTATATTTGAACATATTTTTTCTTTTTGTTTTTCTTATCTACTGTATATCTAAATAGCTTTTATTTTTATTTTTTTATTTTCATAGTTAATAAGTAATCTATTAAAATAAAAATTAATTTTCTTTTAGATTCAAGATTATATTGAAGTATTTTTATTAGTTGATATTGATATATTCCTTCGTTGGTATTTTCTTTAATAATAATTTCTTTGTAATTTTTGATATCTATATAATTATTTTGTTATTTTGGTAAGAAATCTTGGATAGACTTAATTGTTGTAAATCACTTTTTTTATACTTTTTTAATAATGTTCCTTATATTGAAATAAATCATAGTATATATAATATTGTTTAAATAAATTATATTTATATAGTTAATTAATTAATAAATTATTATTTTAATTTAGTTATAAGTATTAAAAAAAAAAAAAAAAAAAAACTTTAGATTAATTTTTTTTCAAATATAATTAATTTATTAATTTATTAATTTTAAAATATTAATAGTAATAAAGTATTTAAAATTATTATTTAGTTCATAAGCCTTATAAAAATTAAAAAAAATATAAAATAAAAATATTTAATTTAAATTTGTTTTTGTTTAATTTAAACCAACTTAAAAATTTTTTATTTTTTTAATAATTTAATTTTTAATTACAATATAAAAAGATAATTTAATTATATGATAATATTGTTATAATATTTAATGTAGTTTTATTTCTTATTCAATAAGAACAAATCAAAATTGTATAATTGTAAAAAAAATTAAATGTAAATTCAAATTTATATGAAAATACAATTATAAATATTATTTTAACATAATATTTATTATATCAAAATTAAATTCACAATGTGTAAAAATTATACAGTATCAATTAACCTTTTGCATATACGTTGTATAAATATCAATTAATGCATAACATCAATCTATTATAAATTATTCACATTTGGTCGCAATAATTACAGGATTCAAGTAGAATTCAATTGAATGATATAATCAAATGCTATTAATCGATGTGAATATACAACAGATGCCACAGTTCAAATAATATTTTAAAATGATAATCTAAAAGGTAATATGAAATCGTAAAATGGTAAGAACCTAATTTTCATAAAATAATTCTCAAAATAAAGCAATGAAATGTTGATAAATCCCAGCGAGTAAAAATGGATACATCGTTAATAGAATCAATTTTACCCGTATCGATTAATGAGTGCTCTTTTTTTTTCCAAATTTTTTTGCTAGCCAAGTTAATCCGCGACCATCTCGCATTCTTTCCATTTCATCAATCACCTCATCAATTTCTATATCTTTTGTCTTTATCTGTATTTCCTTTATAATTTTTTTACGCGCGATCAAAGGATCCTTGTTCTCGCTTGCCCATTTATTTCCATATGTCTCTAATAATGTAATTACCGAAGGGTTACCATTTAGTCCCACATTCCATTCATTCCAAACATCATAGACAGTATCAAGGGTGTCTAATTCTGGAAGACAATAATACTTAGGCCTCGTATTTTCCGACACAGTTGATGGAGTAGGAATAATCCGACTGGTAGTATAATTATTAACGGAAGAATTGTCCGAATTGTGTACGGGTGAAGTAAAGGATATTGGGGGTCCATTCGCTGAATCAATGGGACTAGAGATAGTTCCAGTGGAATTAATAGTTGTGGTACTTGGGGTCCTCACGATAGTGTTAGCTTGCCGATTTGCATCTAATACATTCACTCCGTGAGATGGAGTATTCATAAAACTGTTGTTAGAGCCTGAACCAGCATGATGAGGGAACATTCCACCTGAATCTGCACCACCATTGATGGGTATAATCGGAAAATTTTGAACCATTGGAGGGTGGTTATATGTACCTACAATAGGATTATTGTGAAAATTTGAAGCATGATTGGGCGCAATTGGCGTATGAGAATGAATAACATTTCCGTTACTCATGGGAGAACTAATTGAAGGATTGTAGGAGGATGTGTGCTTTGGAACATTATTATTGTTAAAATGAGGGCTAAACACATTCTCTGCATTGACATCCGAACCGACACCCATATTCGAAGCAACATTGCTAATAATAGAAGCTATCTGAGGAGTATAAACGGCAGCCATTTGTTGTTGTAATTGATTTGCGTTTAATTGTCCCGGAAATGTAGCCGTATGAGATGTAGGATTAATTGGAGGTGATGAAGAAACGCTACTTGTTGGATTTTGATTACTTGAGACAGCTTTACTAACATTTGTGGCATTTACCTCTTTTTCCCTACCATCACTGCTACTATTGCTGCTACTATTGCTGTTATTATTACTAATATTACTGTTCAAGTTGCTGCTGTCATTATTATTGTTATTATTATTGTTATTATTATTACTGTTATTTGCTATAATTGGTGTAATCTGTGTCGGAAATCTTGATATTTGAGGCGGCATTTCGCTGGTTTCCACCGTTACTGTAGCAGGATCCGATGATACTGTATTACTAGTTACTGGAGAAATATCAGTAGTAACTGTCGTTGTTGTGGTTGAATTGTTATTTGCATCTGTATGGGTTACAGTAGTCATTTTAATAGTAATAACTGTACTCGTTGTGGTGGTCGAAGAACCCGGTGGTAAGTTGATCAGTTGATCCTGCGAATTAGGGTCCTGGGAGTCTCCAGGTCGTGATGCTAAAGGAACCTCTCGGACGTCTCGGGGTGAAATGTTTACTCTTGGCTCGTTTAACCGTGGCTCAGTTAACCTCGGTTCTGGAGGCATAGGTAGGCGAATTTCCGGGAGTGGCCTTTCTTGTCTTCTTTCATTTGGCGGAATTACGTCTATATCTATAACCCCCCGGCGTGGTGGTCTACCCCGTGGTGGCCTATTACTGATGTCACGATGGCGTAACTCATTGTAAGTTTTAGATCTTGTTATTTTTCCCATAGCCATTATCCTTGTTTTGTTTATGAGACGATACCTTAAAGAGTAAGGAACATGTCAGTTCTATACTTTAAAAAAAAAAAAGGCAAATTTGTACCAGGCTACGCGCCAAAATCAAACCTTGGAGAAATTAATCAAGAACGATAAACAAAAACAAGACTTTGAATGTAGCACATTTGTGGCCAATCAGTTTACGACATTATAGTGGCTTATTTTAACGCGACATTTATTCTTGAAGCCTGGCAAAAATTATTTGGCTAAAACTTCATTCCCAATCCCATATTTATTAAATTTGCATATAAACCATTCATCCGCGTTACATTAAAACCCATCGACTGTACTTTACAGGATCTGTATATAGTCAGTCACCAGTCTTTGTTTTCCAACCTAGACACACAATTTTCACTGGATGATGATGTAAAGTGCGCTATCCGTAAAGGGATGTGTGGTCGATGATAATTTTATTATTGATCAGTTGATGATCTTGCTTACTTTTGTTCCAAAGGTTTGCGAGGATAGTCGTACAGTCTGACAGTTTCTATTAATTATACGTATTTGAAAAAAAACTTTTTTTTAATTATAAAAATTTTAAATATATAATTATAAGTAAAAAGATTTTTTAATAATTTTAAATAATAAATTTGTTTTATAATTTGTAATAAATTTTTTAATAAAAAAAATTTATTAATTTAAAAAAGTAAATAATATAATAACAAAAAATTTAATATATTTATAAATAAACAAATTATAATAAAAATAACTTTTTTATTTAAAATTATACAAATAATTTAAATATAAATTTAATTTTATTATTATATTATTATAAAAAATATTATTATTATTATTATTTTTGAATATTTATAATTAAGCTAAATCATTAGTTTATTAATTAATTAAAAACATAAATATATTTTTATTTAACCAATATAATATATATTATAGTTAAATTATTATTTTAATAAAAAAAATTTTTATATTTTTTTTGCCGATTTTTTAATTATATACAAAAAAGATGTTTGTAAAAAGTTTTTATATTTTTTTGTTAATAAAGTTTTAATATTTTTCTTAAAACAATTTGAAGTATGACTTCAAGAATCATTTTTATTTTATTTTTTTTTGTTTATAAACCTTTTTATTTAAAAATTTAATTTTTAATAATCAAGAAAAATCAAGAAACACTTTTGATATTAACAGCAAAAAAGTTTTTTTAAAAAAAAAATTGATTGTAAAATATTTGAAAGTTTATTTAACTTTTGAAATGAGAAGTATATAAAGATTTTTGATGACAAAAAGATTTATTTTTTTTTTTTAATCACTGTTGAGCTTTTTAAAGTTATTGTTTTTATAGTTTTTTGAGGAATTTTGTTTATTTCGGTTTGATTTTAAATTTTTGGTAACACAAATCCTTATTAAAAGTGATTGGTTAACATAAAATATATTAGTTTTTGAAATATAAACAAGCTTTTATTGGTTATATTCATGTGTTTTAATAACGTTATTGGTGATTGAAAAAAATGTTTTAAAAATGGTTGTTTTTAAAAAATTTAAGTTTTTTAATAAAGACTTTTATGACACTAAAAGATTAAGCGATGAATAATGTGGATTGCAAATTCCTATCTCTTTTTTAAGTTCCTTAAGTGGTAATAAAGCTTTAATAGAAAAAAGCTGAGGTCTAAATGCTTTTTTTGAAATATTTCAATCTGGTATCTATTTAAATGAAAGACTAGTTGAATTGATTCGTTTGATGCCGCAGGTGGTGAAAAAGAAGATTTCTTTTGAGGTTCAAGTGAAGCAAGAAGACTATTCTAATTAAGCAGATCTCTTTTGAGAAGAGGTTGTTTTTATTTTTGGATTTTTTTGATGGGCCTTGAATTGTCCCTTTTTCCTAATTGTTTTTCCCCTTTTCCCTTTTTAACTTAGCAATTTATTGGTTTTTGAGCAATCAACAGTAACAAACCGTTGGCAATGATCCTGATAGATAGAGGTTATTACCAATTTATTGGGGGAGTGTAATATTGTCCTCAAAATCAGACTTAAAGTACTTTTGTATGAAGACAAATTAGTCATGTTATGAAAATCTGTAAAATATTGTAGATTTATTTTAATTTTTTAATAAAGACAAGCTATCGTGGCATGATTGCGGTTTTAGAAAAAAAAAAAAAAAAAACTAAACTATTATTTTAATTTAATTAACTTGTTATAAGTATAAAAGTTTTAAATTTAGTTTTATAAACAATATTTTGTTTTATAATATTTTTGAACAAAAATTTTTTTAGTTTATTATATTATTATCAATAAGTTGTTATTGCTATATATTATACCAAACTGTTAGAATATAAGAAACTATAAAAGAATAGGTTGAAAAAAAGGAAAGTGAATATTTAAAAATATTTAAGCAGATAACAAAAAAATAAAATTTAAAAAAAATATTATAATTTTTTTTAAAATTTGTTTTTTAAAACCTTTTTTCAATAAGAAATATTTAATTAAAAAATTTTTTTTTCAATTATTTGAAGAACTTATTTATTTTTAATTTTGATTTTTTTTTTATATATTATTTGAAAAGACTTATTATTTAATAAAAATTTTTATTTTTAAAATACATTTTATTTTAATTTTTTTTTGAATAGTGATTTTTTATTTATATATAGTAAAAAATTATAAAAAATATAATAGAATAAATAAATTATAATATATAATATAAAAGTTAAAATAATTAAAATATAAAAAAATAAAACAAAAAGTAAATATTCTTTTTATATAAAACAATATTTAAAAATATTTAATAAATTAAATATAATATTTTAATTATTATTTATTTTATTTAATTAAAAACTAATTAAACATAATAATAATTAATTTGATAACTATCAGATAACTATTATTAAAAATAAATTTAATATTAATAACTATAAATTATTAATAGTTTTTTTAGTTTAATTATAAAGAAATAGGTTTTAAACAATATTTAAACCTATTATAATTCAGTTTAATAATTTGATTAAAGATAATTTAAATCTATAAATATATAACTCATATTAAAAAGTAATATTATAATTTTCAAGAATATCTTCTAATTAATTTTATTTTGATTAAAAAAGTAAATATCAAATTAATTTTTTTTTTAAACCCTCTGTCAAGCTAGTTATGTATGCTTTATTAAACAATTATAAGCTGTACATATAGTATGAATTGTTAAAGTTAAAACTTTAACTAGCTCACTCGTCTCAATAATTACTCTAAGTGTAACCTTGAAAGTGATTTTTCGCTTCATTAAAAGTTTAGGTAAAGACCTTTCCAACTTTTAATATCATTGCCTGCAGGTCATTACTGCAAATCACTCTTTGCAGTTCTGACAGAACTCAAAACCCAACTATTTTATTTCAAATCTAATCCCTTTTGATAAGATATCTATGAGACCTTGATCTTCTAATTTTCCTTCTTCTATTAATGGAACACCTCTTCTTTCTGGCAATGCAGTTTTAGGTTTTGGACCAGGAAGGCTTGAAAGTCTTTTAATCTTATCATTTCTTTGGATCCCTTGTGTTCTTTTCCATTCTATGATTTTTTCACATCTTGCATTCCAAACCTTCTT